GAAAGAAAGAAAGAAAGAAAGAAAGAAAGAAAGAAAGAAAGAAAGAAAGAAAGAAAGAAAGAAAGAAAGAAAGAAAGAAAATCTTAAAAGGCACTAGTTCAAAACAAAAAGGACTGTCCTGCAACATTCTACTTTAAAAGCCAATGGTATTGCTATAGTTCGGGATAAAGAGGAATATCTAAAGCCACTAACTGCTATTCTTTGCTGAGCCCATCACTTTAACAACAGACTTGCAGACTTTTCATTCCCCTCCCTTCAAAATTAAAACAGTAAATAAAATTCCTTCCAAATACAAGAGGTGGTTTCTGCTAGCCAAAACTCCTTCTCTGGCAACTAATAAAACCCCTGAAAATAGGGGCGGCCATCCACCAATACCTTTATATACAGAGACAATGTCGGTGCCTCCATATTAAAAACTGAGGTAAGAGCAAGATTTTATTTCTCCCTTCCAAACTGGGCAGGCTCTTTCAAAATTTCAATTATTACCTCGACATTAAAAGACAGTTCAACCAAAAGAAAACGAAAAAGGCGACCCCACCCCCAAATTAAGACAAGGCTAGTGAGACAGGCATGAACTCTTTAAAAAGGAAATGACAAGCATTTAAACATTAAATATAAGGAGAGCAGGTTGTGGTAGTTTTTGTTCAGTGTAAAAAAATAATGAGGCTAAAGAAAAGAAAGAAAAACAAAAGAGAGTGTGTCTGCCTTGCTGTGCTTTTTTCTTCTTTGGGTATTATTCAGTGACCCCTGCAACGTATACAATGAACTGTCATCTCCAAAAATAAAAATAAAATAAAGCTAGATGCTTTAGGAGAAGAGAAAGCTCAGTTAGCACAAGCAAGTTGTAGCCTTTAAAGACAGCCTACTTTGAATGGGGGAAGTGGCGGATGGAGAAGCATTTTAAAGTCTTGTTTATGCAAAGTAACATTTAGTGTGTATCCATAATATTTTAAAAGGCATGTCATTGCAACTGCTGAAAATTGTTGAAGCTGCTATTATTCTCTAGTACAGGGTTCCTCAACCTTGGCGACTTGAAGATGTGTGGACTTCAACTCCCAGAATTCCCTAGCAGCCAGGCTGGCTGGGGAATTCTGGGAGTTGAAGTCCACACATCTTCTTCAAGTCGCCACGGTTGAGGAACCCTGCTCTGGTATATGTCTGCCACGTCTCAGGTATTGTTGAAAATGCACCCTGGATTAAATTTGTCTACTGGGTCAAAGGGAACACAGGGGCAGAAACGGTACATAAGACACTGTTGCACAACTCTTTTGGAGGGCAGGCTGGTCCACTTTCAATTATCCTGGTCCTGTCACAAAAAGAGAAACCAAAAACGAAGGACAACAACATAAACCCCTTGCCTATTCCAAGAAGCAAGCAAGCTGAGATAAGCCTTCTTTTGGCTACCTATCACTTCTGTGCGAACCCACTGGTCCAGTTCACACTCTTCTCAAGAGCCAAAAGGGCAGCCAAGAGCAGTTCACAAAACAAGGGTTCCGTCTCCAAGTGAAACTCTGCCATGTTGCTTTGTAAGGTAGTGCAAGGCGAGAAGGGGGCATCTTCCCACCCTCCTTCTCTACGTGGGCATGTGAAGGTGGCTCATTTTTCAATGCTCCATACTGACTAGGGCTGTGCAGAGATCTGGATGCAGAGAGCAAACGGGAGGAGGAGCAAGCCTGGCCAGGCAGGTAGTGTCTGTTGGGGAATTTCTCAAGCCATCTATCTCCGGCATTGTGGGGAAACAGCAGATGGCCGCTCTGCACGAGCCTGGGAAAAGACATTCCTGACCGAGGCTACGTACACGTCTGCACCCATTTTCCCCTTTGCATCCAGATTGTTGAGGGCCCTAATACTGAATAAGATTCTCTTCTTTTATTGTAGAAAGAAAATAATCATGCAGTTTACATGACTGGCACCCTCTTTCTCAATTAAGAATGCAACTCTTTAAAAACGGTTAAATGGTTTTATTTCTCTCTATTCTTTGCAGCGATTTCCTGTAAAGTGGCTTTTTAGAACAAAAAAAAAATTAGAGAAGATAATTAGAGGTACTTTTTTTCATGTGTACATGCTTGTGTGTACATGTTTGTGAACTACACGCACACAAACACACACACACTGAACCAAAACAAAATACGCCGTGCTCATGCTCATGCATTTAGCACACGTCCGGCTCATGGTCACTCCATCAAAAGTTGACATCATCCCCAAAATGGGATTTTTATGGACTGGACCAGTGTTTCAATGCAATTTTTTAACCACTCCGGGAAGGAGGGGGGGAAAAAAACTATGGTTTCAAATTTCACAGTATGACTTTTCCCATGTAAATTTGGGGGAAAACAAAGGAAAAAAAAAAGAATAGCAATTGGTAAAATTGACCAAGTTCCTTAGCAAATCTGTCCTTCAACGGTCTGAGACATCAGGAAAGATTGGACAACTTGTTCAGTTGACTGGGGGCTGGTGCTTACGTCCTCCAGGGCATCTGTGACCGAAAACTGCCGATCCCGCAATCGATTCCAGTTGGCCAATATGTTGTGGTATTCAAATACTTTCTCATAATTGCCAATGGAGTTGTACAGTTTAATGAGGCCCCTGTAGTCATACTCTAGTCCACTGTAACCTTCCCCGAAAAGCTTTTTTCCTAAAATAATAAAACCAAGAATATTAATGGCTGCCATATTAAATTGTAATTTCTGCATTTTAAAATGAGATGTCTATCAAAGAATTGTGTTTCTTTAAAAAAAAAAAGAAGTTTTGGGGGGGATATGAATACATGGTTTCAGAAATGGACCTCTTCAGATTCTTACCCTTCCAAGGAACTTTGGACTTATAAACAGAATAACCAATGGAAAAAAAAAAGATCCTGAACAAACTCCAAACTCTCTTTTTCTGGGAAGATTTCATCATCTCCAACAATAACAAAAAAGCTTAACTATTTGCTCCAAATCCTCCATTACTATTCTTGCTTTCTTTCTTCAATTGGAATTTACATTGCTCCAATTATTAACCGGTTTATAATTTAAGTCTATGAGGGGAGGCACAAACCAGGGATCTTACCTCGAATGTAAACGTAAAACACACTGACTAGGAGGAGTTCAGTGGTCAGGAGCGCATGCCTGTAAACTTGCTGGAACTGGCTATGCCACTGATCTTTCCCACCCCCTCTGAACTTCATCCATCCTACAACTAAGATCTTAGCAAACCCGCAGTTAAAGAATTGACCCACCAATTGCTATGGATCTCAAATAAAGCTTCTCAGCATTTTCGTACTGATTCATGTCATAGTTGTAGAGCGAGGCAAGGTGTCCCACAGAAAGAGCGACTTCATAATCTTCTTGACCAAGGAGCTGCTCCTTGATCTGAATTGCTTTGATGTGCATTTCTTCTGCTTCCTGCAACACCCAAAACGGTACATTACTTACTTAGGAATGATTATGCTATGACAACAATGTGGATATCTTTCCATCAAACACAAATGATAAGAGTCTCTGCCTGCTTGAGAACACAAGCTAAAGTTTATTTTATTTATTTATTAAAGGTATATGCTGCCCATCTCCCACAAGGGTGGGTTAAAATCTAAAACAAAAAGCCAAGGTTAAACTTTTCAGATAGGAGTATGCATCAGGAATCAGCTGAACAAGAAATTTTGAGATGAAGTGGGGTAATTTGGAAGGTGTGGTGGAGTGGATGAATCCAAACCTGCTCCATTCTGGCTGTGAACATCTGTGAAACTCAGTTGTAGTCTATTCTCTGGAATACTGAAAAAAGTCCTTATCTAGGTTAAGCATTATGGTGGGGAGAAGGAGAAGGAAGTGGTGCACTGGATTTCCACGACCACTAATCTTTCTTCAAATCAGGAGTTGGGTTTTAACAGGTGGGTCGCAATACCATTTCAACAATACACCTTTCTTTTACATAACTGAAAAGGTTTGTTAGCTGACTTATTCTAGTATCATATTAACAGGTCTGACTTATCTAGGAGTCATGAAAATATTTTTTTTTTTAATGAGAAAGAATAAAAATGAAGTGGACGTTTATTTCCATGCCTTTTAATTAAAAAAAACAGGCAAGAAATGCCCAAAATTTGATCATCAATCAATGACCTTATTTGTAAACAATAGTTGTATTGTGAACAGTAAAGTTTAGTAACGTTGATGATACACAGACATAATTAATCAGCAACTAATTATTACAAAATGCTATATTATTACAAAGAAAATATTGAAGACTATATGAAATATAATTTTAATACTATTATTTTTATGGAGGGAGGGGCTCATAAGAGCAAAAGCGCCCAGGGCCCATAGAAGTATACATAGAAGTATAGCCCTGCACATTAGCAGCATTTTCCTAAACAATTTTTAAAGACCTTTTCAGGTGTATATTATAAGACCCTTGTGTGGATTTATGCTGCTGTTTTTCATCAGCCAGAGGCATCTGAAGGATTGATTGCTCATTTCGTCAAAATGATGAAAGTAATATTACACCACAAGCCCCAGCCGTTCTGTAGGTGTGTTGTGAGGTCACAATGCTTGTACAAAACGTGGAGCATTTATTACATCAGCATGACATGTTTTCATCATGTGCCCACCATCCACTCATGGACCCTGCTGCATTGGCTACTCTAATATTTTAATATTTGGCTGTATTGCCATAACCTTTTAGCACTGGACTTGTATTCCAGTCAGCCATCCTTGGAAAGTAAGGTATATGAAAGTAGTCTATAGAACCAATCAATCAGTAAAATGATGCAAGGAAGAAAGACATACAGTTAGTCCTCGGTTAATGACTGTTTAGTGACCATTCGAAGTTACGACGGTGCTGAAAAAGTAACTTTACGGCCAGTCCTTGCATTTACAACTGTTGCAGCATCCTCACGGCCACATGACTGAGATTTGGGTGCTTTGCAACAGGCAGGCATTTACAACCATTGCAGCGTCCTGCGGTCACATGATTGCCATTTGCATGCTTCACAGATGGCTTCTGACAGGCAAGACGATGGAGAAGCCAGCAGTAAAATCACAAGTTGTGGTCATGTGATATCCCACTTAATGACTTCAGGTGATTCGCTTATCAACTGCGGTGGAAATGAGGCCATAAGCCTGTTGCAGTCATGTGACGTCTCACTTAAAAACTGTGTTGCTTAGTGATGGAATTGCCAGTCCTGATTGTGGTCTTTAAGTGAGGATTACCTGTACAACTTTCCTTCAATCTTTCCATGGTAAACTTTAGATTTTTCTTTTTTACGGACATTCAATAGAAGAGAATATCTGTAGCTCAGGGTTGAACTCTGGAGTCCTTGGTGTTCTCTGAGCTTGGTTGTTTGCTTGCAGACATCTCATTACCCAACTAGGTAACATTATCAGTGCTTTTCATTTTATGGACATATTGTCCGCACATATTTTTATGGACATATTATCTGGATAAGATCCTGAAATAATTATGGCTGCCCAGAAGTAGAAAGGGTGGGAAAAAGATCACAATGACTCAGGGGTATCTGCAGGTATGGTTAAAAAAAGAATAAAGATAACAACACACATAAAAACAGGCAGAACTGTAATTGCATTGTTGTGGACATCATCTTGACTTTTTTTACCATACCCCGCAGGCATGCCTGCAATGATTCCTGTTCGTAAACTTCAGAGCCTTGTATAAATCAAACTATCCTGCTATGACAAAATGCACATTAGTGATATTCCTGCCCATTGCCCTGAGAAAGCTGGATTTACCTTAAATTTCCTCATTGACTGATAAAGTCGGCCAAGGTTACCGTAGTGTTTCGCCGTCTGAACGTTAAACTCCCCAAATGCTTTTTTGGCCAGCTGGAGAGAGGAGAGGTGCAGGTCATGGGCTTCTTGGAGCAGCCTCTGCTCGGTTTCCTTATTGTGACAGTCGATTGCAATCTCCTCCAAGATAAGTGCTTCAAGGGGGAGGAAACAGAAATCTGGGTTAATAAAAGCAGTGCATTAAAAGGTATCTGGCTAGTGAAGAAGACCATGTCTAAAAGTCATCTGCCAGAATTAGACCAAGATTTCAATTTCAACCCTTTTCCCCTGTCCCAATTATCAATCAACGGGACAAAGAACCTCAGGGTGAGCTGCTATACAGGTAGATCTGGCTCTCATTTGCACTTTCACATCTTCTGTCTAGCCATATCAACTTTAACTTGCAATTAGTCTACCAAGCCCTTTTCACACCAATTATAAGAAGTGCTGCTATAGAGAATACATTTCTATTTCATGCTGCATTTCAATCAAGGAATGAGTAATGAGAACCTTTTCCAATCTAGTGGGCACTAGAACGTCAGGCTAGGTATTCTGGGATTTGCAGTCCCAACACATCAGATAGGCATCAGACTGGAGGAACCTCTTTGCCAGATAGGTGTGGAAGAAAAGTAACCTTAATAAATGGATGGAACGCAAGTAAATGGTCTCAAAATGATGTGTAAGCCCCCAGATGGCTTCCTGGGGGATGGCTAGAAAGTCTTCCTTGTAAGACAGGATGATTCCCCTCTAAATATTTTGTGCAGATAATTGTAATATTAATGTGATATAAGAAGCACTGATAGTTGTAGTGGTCATCCTTTTGATGGCTGATGTTTATTAGCTATCAGATACATAATTTTTTCTACAAGGTCTGAAGGAAATCCTTTCTGCTGCTTAAATGTAGCCAGTGATTATAACAGGAGTTCAGAAATTCTGAATTTATCTGGAGAAATTGAATCTAGGGAGAGCTGTGCCTTTATGGAGATACAATTTGGTTCTGGGGGAAATGATGCTGTTTTAAGGGTGCCAACTTCTTCCTACGGATTTCTAAACAAGTGTTAAAAACACTTTATAAGGAAATTACTTTAGTACAAGGTTGGGTGGTTCCTATTCCTGGCAGCCAGGATTTGGAGGTTATCTACTAGCTACCTCTCCGCCCCATAACTTCAAAATGATGTTTTAAGCCAACTCTCCCTCTTTCGAGCTGTTTTTCTTAATTACCACTCATCTTGATTACAGTGCCTCCAACAATCAGCCCTTTCACCAGGCACTCCTGTCCTCCCTAGACACTCAGCGAAGAACTCACACAGGAGTCTTTCTTAACTCAGTATCACTATTTCCTCATATCATTCCACCCATGACCTTGAATTTCTAAAGCATCAGTAGCCATTTCTGTTCCCTTCCTGTGGCACTAAACCCAGCCGGCAGATAATACCTTTAACTCTTTTGGAGGAGGCGAGGAGAAGGTGATCTTCTGGGAGAATGTGGGTGATGATGCCAATTGCACGTTCTGCATGGAATCTAAGATCAAAGACAAGCAAGCATATGAGGAAAACATGACCTTCTGGTCCTTATCCTAAAGTTTTGCTAGCAATGTCTGTCTGACTTGGTGAAAAGCCACAGCTTTCCCACTTGAAACAAGGAATATGTTCTGCTGCCTGATGGTGGAAAAAAAAGTGTTTCCCCTCCTCTCCGATTTCTTTCAGAAGCAGACAGCGAAACTGAATGGGCAGCTAAACAGAAGGCTTCTTCTGCATGGCCCTTTAGTTTATGGCCATTAAGCAAAGCAATGGGCCCTACACTTTAGAAAAAGAAAACCAGCAGGATCTGCAACCTCAGTGACAGTATGAACCTTCTTTTGCAAGGGCTCCAACTCTCTTCCCCCCCTCAGAATGCCAGTGCCAATTTCTTGTGCATATACAAGGATTTCACTGACATAAACATCTACAACCTGATTATCAGAGCCTATTTTTACTTAATCAGATCAGTGGTGAAAAACAGGTCCATTGACACTCATTACTGAAATGGAGTCCCTAAGCTGACTTTAATGGTCCTGCCCACTGACTTAATTACAGGTAAGCAGTTGCCAGAGACATGGCCCTTTCTGCAGTGGGCCCACACCTTGGAACGCTCTTTCCAAGAAGCACATCTGGCCTTTTGATTATTTGATTATGTGCCATTAGGAGGCCAAGAAGCTGCAGTATATCTTTGGCTAGGCTTCATCTATTATGCTTTTTTATTGCTGCTGCCATGCTTAATCATTAAGGTACACTGCATACTGTTTACTGCTTTGAGGGGGCAGACAATTCTGTATTTTAAAGTATGCTGCAATTTGATTTTTGCAATACTGGTGGTCCTCATTTAACGACTGCTAAATGTCAAACTTGTGACAGTGCTGAACGAGTGGTAGTTACCACTGGTCCTCGAAGTTCTGGCCATCACAGCACCCCCACAGTCACGTGATTGTGATCTGGGCGCTCAGCAATCTGCCCAGATTTCTGACCATTGCGGCATCCCAGAGTCACGCGATCGCGATTTGCAAGCTTCCCTGATAGCTTCCCACAAGCAAAGTCAATGGGGAAACCGGCAGGAAGTCAGAAGTCACAATCACATAAGGCCCTCGCTTAATGACCCACATGATCCTCATTTAACAACGGTAACTGGGGACTGCCGGAACTGCTGTCACTAAGCGGCGCAGTCACGTGACATCCTACTTTATGACTGCATCACTTAGCAGTAGAAATTCTGGTACCAGTTACCATCATTAAGCAAGGACTACCTGTAATCTCTCAGTGCTATAAACAAGCAAAGGATAGTTGTGCAACAAAGAAGGCTAATCAATTCCTAGTAGAGTACCTTTTGCCAGTTTAAACTGCATTTATTGCTTGATGCAGCATTTGAATTGTGGACACTGTTTAGTGCTAAGATAGTGGAAGCAGTGTTCTTCCATCTTGGCTTAGTTGTACAGTTTGAAAACAGGACAGTGTTCCCAGATTGCATGGAAAAGGAAAATGTTTTCTGCTCTTTGGAGTTCTCTCTTTCAACATCCTTTCCAAATATCCCCTCCCTGTTCTATCTCTGTATTCCCAGCCATTCATGACGTACGCATTGCCTTGAATTGTTTTGTGCAATTTAGCCTTCTCCAACATAGCATCTTCCAGCTACGTAACAGGGAATTTGAGGAACGGAAGCCTAAAACACCTTCAGGGTGTCAAGTTGACAGATGCCGCAATTTACGATATTGGTGATGTTGGACGTGTTTACAGGTAGTCCTTGACTTATGATGGCAACTGGGACCGGAATTTCCATTGCTAAGCGATGCAGTCATAAAGTGTGACTGCAGCACTTAGCGACGGCAATCCCTACAGTCCTGGTTGCTGTCACTAACCAAATACCATGGTCATTAGGTGAGGCAACTTCCTGCTGGTTTCCCACAACTGGAAGCCGGCAGGAAGTTGCAAGTCCCAGGTCAGCAGGCAGGTAAGTGGCTCCTGCCGGGTGGGGGAGGGAGCGAGGGGATATGTGGGGGTGTGAGGGAGGGTGTGAAGGGGTGTGTGAGACACATGGCATGGGTTGGGGATGGTGCAAGGGGTACGCGAGAGGCATGGTGTGGGTCAGGGATGGTGCAGATGGTACACAAGAGGCATGGTGTGGGTCGGCGAGGATGCAGGAGGAAGCAAGGGTGTGTGTGAGAGGCACAGGTCGGGGAGGATGCAAGGGGGTGTGCAAAAGGCAGAGGTGGGGGAGGATGTGAGGGGGTGCACAAGAGACACGGTGCGGGTCAGAGAGGATGCGTGAGAGGGTTGGGGTGGGTGCATGAGGGGCTGGGGAAGGGTGCGCCGGTGGGGGAAACTTACCCCAGCAACTTGTGACCTTCCCTGCTGGCTTCCCCACTGACTTTCTGGGAAGTTGGCAGGGAATGTTGCAAATGGCTATCACGTGATCGAGGGACGTTGCAACCGATGGTAGTGCAAAATGGTTGCCAAGCGCCCAGATTGCAATCATGTAACTGTGGAGGTGCTGTGGTGGCCAGAACTTCAAGGACCAGTGGTAACTACCACTTGTTCAGCACTGTCACAAGTTTGACATTTAGCAGTCATTAAATGAGGACCACCAGTACTGCAAAAATCAAATTGCAGCATATCTTAAAATACAGAATCATCTGCCCCCTCAAAGCAGTAAACAATATGCAGTGTACCTAAATGATTAAGCATGGCAGCAGCAATAAAAAAGTATAGTAGATGAAGTCTAGCCACTTAGCAAACTAAGTTTGACGTTTAGTGGTTGTTAAATGAGGACCACCAGTATTGCAAAAATCCAGAAATGAAGAAAAAGATGCAATTCTTCCAGCTCTTCAGATTACGTAGTTGCATTTTTATAAATACAAAGGAGGTATACATTAATAAATAAATAAACTTTTATGTTGACTGGCTCTCAATGACTCAGGGCAGCTTGCAACAATCAAAGAAATTACAATAAAATCAATAAAATATAAAAAATAAAGATGAAAAATGGCAAGTGCGATGAAGTGAGGGTCTCATTCTCCCTTGTTGAAGGCCTGGGTGAAGAGCCAGGTCCTCATGGCTCTTCAAAACAACAGCAGAGTGGGGGACATCTGGATCTCAGGGGGAATATTGTTCCAGAGGACAGGCACTGCTACAGAGAAGGCGCACTTCCAGGGTCCCGATAGATGACATTGTTTAATTGAAGGTACCTGGAGCATGCTAAGCCTGCAGGATTGAATCAGCTAGGCAGATGCTATGGGAGACAGGGAGTCCCTCAAGTAACCAAGCCCTATGCCATGTTGGGTTTATAGGTTGCGACCAGCACCTGGAATCACACCTGGAAGCAAACTGGCAACCAATGCAGCTCATGAAGCAGAGGTGTTACATGAGCATACCAAGGCATGCCCATCATTGCTCGCGCAGCTGCATTCTGGACCAGTTGAAGCTGCCAGGTGGTCTTAAAGGGCAGCCCCACGTAGAGAGCACTGCACTAGTCAAGCTGCAATGTGACTAGGGAATGAGTGACTGTCTGAAGGACCCCCTGACCTAAGAAAGGGCACAACTGGCACACCAGATGGAACTGTGCAAATGCCTTCCTAGCTACAGCTGACACTTGCTCTTCAAGCAGGAGCTGCAAGTCCAGGAAGACCCCCAGATTGTGTACCAACCTTGAAGGGGGAGGTGCAACCCTATCCAAGGTGAAAGATGGAGTATCTCCAGACCTGGGTGGTTCAAATACCCACAGTCTTGGAAGGACTGAGTCCGAGACAGTTCCTCCCTATCCAAACTTGCACAGCCTCCAGGCACTGAACTTTGACAGCCTCACTTGGCTGGCCCAAGGTCAAAAGATATAATTGGGAATCATCAGCATACCAATCATACCAAACCCCAAAATGGCAGTTTCACATAGATGTTGAAAAGGAGGGGAAAGAGAGTAGAGCTCTGTGGCATCACACCCAGGAGAGGGCTAATCTTGTTATTTTAAGTGCTGTGTGCAAAAAAGCTTAGATATTTATTTTAAAAAGTGCACGGTGATTTTGTTTTATAGCACAGTGTCTCAAAACATAAAAACCAAATGGCCATTAAGTGTTTTTAAAACTTCTTATTCAGAAGAAAAAAACAGGAAAAATTATCTCTGATGGTAGCAGAAGGGTGAAATGGACTTTGAAATTTACTATTTCAGCAAAATATGCTCTTCTAATATTGGAATATACTGTGAAATACAGAATAAAATCATTTGGGCCCTAAATATAGTACTCACAGTGCATTATCAAATTTTCCCGAACTGTATTGGTGAACATAGGAAGAATATGCCAGATCTTCGTGAGCTGTTGCTACATGGATGTTTTTGCCGCCAAACACCGACTGTCTGATGTCCAAGGCTGTCTGAAATGATTTGTGCGGAGAATCTAAGCCAGTAGCCCAATCTGCAGCCAAAACTACTTTTTCACATATCTAGCACCAGATTAGTTGTAAACAGAAAACTAATCCAGGAGAGACAAAGATTCTCTTCCTGCCCATTACCCCTAGTGTCAACTTCCTTCTTGTACAGCATGTTTTAACATAGCAGGGACTTCCTAAATGCCAACGCCTTAACTAAGCACATAAAACTGAAAAAAAGTATCTTGTGTCCAGTTCAGGATAAAACAGCCCTTACTTGGAACATTCCAATGGAGCTGGCTAGGTTCAAGTGTTCCATGAGAGGTAGCAATGGAAATGTGAAGCTACAATCCCCTTAACTCTTTCCTTGTTCACCCTACGGCCACAGAGGCAAGTAGACTGATAATCCATTGCTACCTGCTGCAACATTTATTTAAGAAATGCCCAAAGTGATTTAAAAATATTAAGAATTCCCAGACAGAAAAGGTAGTGATGGTCACCATGGTAAATGGCTTTAAAGGGAAGGTTGAACCAATTCATGGAGTTGGAGAATAGTGCCAACACTGGCAATTTGTTGCACTGTCACAGCTCTTGATGGTTGGAAGTTTGTTTACTCAAAATCCACTTTCCTATTTTTTCACTGCTGTTTCTTCTATTTTACTAATCTTGGACAATCTGAAGGCTGCTATTGCATCCTCCCTTAATCTTCTCATTTCTAAGGCTAAAATGCACAAGCTGCATTATTAATGGCAAATTAATTTGGGGCCAATGTTTTGGCTGTACTGCAAAGAGTAGAGGACTGCATAAAGCATAGAGTATTATATTGTTTTTACCCTATTTTATTATTTATAAATATATATGCAAGAGAGAAAAGAGTAAAGACCTTCCTTCCTTCCTTCCTTCCTTCCTTCCTTCCTTCCTTCCTTCCTTCCTTCCTTCCTTCCTTCCTTCCTTC